TTCACTTTCTTAACTTATTCTCTACTATATTTATTTTATTTTAACTTTAAAATATTTAATGCCCTATATTGTCTCCCATCTTCAGTTGTTCGAGCCAAACTACTTGGCATAGATCGCGATGATGCTCATTCAATTTCTAACGTTAGTTCATCAGGCGCCGGATACTGGCTTCGTCTGGACTCCCGGCCGCGTTTCTTCAAGTTCGACCCTGCTGCTGACCGCCAGCCTAACTCCGCAACGAAGCCCGCTTTTTCGCTTCAATCGGCCAGCCAGTTGGCCTATCGTGTTGACTGTGACTGCCCCTTGTTGGCCGGCCTTGCGACTCGCGGCAGAAGTCGTTTGGGACGATGGTTGGTGATGGGCAAACTACGCGCGGATGGACAATCGGTGCAGGTAATCGTGTATCGCTTGTCGCTTGTTCGGTGACAAGATAACCTTAAAAGCATACAATGTGTTGCAATTAGAAACAACCTCGTGAATTATTGAAGTGAACTTCTACTCAAAGATGGGGCTAAAGGGAAAAATCAATGTTATCATTAAAGAAAATACAAAAAATGAGGGCGATATATATATTAGAAGAATGACCGGAACACTTTTATAAAATAATGTAAATAAAATGGTTTAAACAGGATTAGGAATCGTTGATTAGGAAGCCATACGTAATCTTGCCTAGTCAGGAAATCATCGCTTTATTCCCCTTTTCTTTTTTGGTACAGTTTGTCGTCACTTGAGAGTATTCGTCCATTTCTCAAGGGATCGTGTCACTGCATGCGTAGTGAGTATGTTTTAGGGCATTAATTACGACTTTAGTCAGCTTCGGCTGCTCAAGATGGTGGACTGCCAATTGAGCTTGCGCCAAGAAGAGAGGCTTTCCAAAACGCTTTCACAATCAAGCAAAACAACATTATCACTTGGAACAGAAGATGATATGATTTTGCTTTGGGAGCTTTGATGAAATCCTGTTCATTTAAAAATGGTATTCCCAAGCGGGTGAGAAAGACTCTTGGGCGAGCATAACGTTTACTAGTTCGAGTCATAGAAACTTCAACTATCATTCCTAATGCTGCCAAAGTTTTCACTCAAATAGATTTATAAACTGAGCCTCGATTACAAATCTGAAGGTGTCCGGATGGATAAGTTTGGATACGGAAGTTGTAATAAGTTTTGGTGTATAGGGCATAAGATGGCCGGAGCTTCTCTAATTTATCGTGAATTGTCTTGCTTAGATGCGGTGTGAGTATGTCAACTGGAGGAAGTGCTTTCAAGTAAAGAGCACTTAGAATAACACATACTGTGTGACTCACATAAAGAGATCTCTGATTGCACAAGAAGAAGCTTTGATTCTGTGTTTGTGTGTGCGTGTATGTATGTGTGCGTGTATGAATGTGTGTATGTATGTATGTATGGCTTAAAGACATATATACACTTGCGTTTATGCATGTGCATAAATGCATTTATGTATGCATGTGTGTGTATGTATGTGGGAGAATGTAAACTGAAAGGATGACATTATGCGTACATCTCAAGTTCCAATTAAAACGCCATTTTGAGCAGTGATTGGGTAACTGTGATGAGGTCATGGATGAGTGTGAATTTTCGGTGTCGCTCAGAATGCTGATTTCCTTCTTAAGAGTGAGATACAAAATTATCTGGACTGTGTTCCCTCCATTTCGCTCAAGGCGACGAGGGACTGTTGGCTCAATTTTCCCACAATCTGACAGGTAGACCTTGCGTTTCCGATGAATTTTGCATAATCTTATAATCCAGACAGAAGTGGACTACATTTCCTTCCTCGCCTCAACTTATCTCATCAGAACCCAAAGCGAGACTCGAACTACTTTCGGCACATTTTCCCATCTAACATTCTGTGGTGGGATTGTTGATAAAACAAATTTATATACAAAGTAGTCTTAAAAGTCTACTTACAAACCAATAGTAGAAAGGTATATTGTGAGTAGGGTTTGAAGCTATCCTTAGATCTTAGACCTTAGATTTTCGAATCTCTTCTTCATACACTTTCATGCGCAATAAAAGTCCCCCAACAATGTTTATCACGAGACATTTTTTCTTATCTCTTATTTTTTCACCCTTCTCACTGTATCTATATTAATTTAACTGTTTTTATTTTTCATACTTTTGTGAATCTCTTCTGATTAATTATTTGG